GTTCGTTGTATTCGGTATTCCGTTGCGAAGTGAGAACACTTACGAGCGATATATCGGTCGGACGAATTTTCATGTAAAAGGAAAAAAAATCAGACGTCAATTTCGATCGCGGCGAGCGCGATTGCGAGCGATCGCCTTTGGTTTCGTTATCGCCGGCCATCTGAAGTCTTGAAAAAATTCGTTAAACTTCGTTGAAAGGAACAAGTTCCTCTTTAGTCTGGCCTATTTAATGTCTAGAGCGAGAGAAAGTGCGCCACTTTGGACCCCCGTATATCGGATTTTACGAGTGTTTGAGGGAGCTAAACAGCCGTCATTTTGAAACCGGAACCAAGATAACGTTCTGCAGTTGTTCACAGCACATCTTCGCCAGATGCGAGACTTTTTGATGTATATATATAGCTATAATCGGGTCAGCCATTCGCTGCTCGCTGCGGTGGACAAATACATGCGAGCGAAACAACGCGCGCGCGTCGCCCAGATTCGTGTCGCAAAAGTATTTTTTTTTTTTTTTTCATGTTTTAAATATCCTTTCACACACATTTTTTAGGATTAAGAAAAGGTTTTTATACGGGCAATCAATACGACACGAACTTGTTCTCCAGAATTGTCCGTTCCGAAGCTGCTGAAATCCATTGTTCATTTTTTTTTTCGTTATGTAAATTATGTAATAATCGTAATAAAAAAAAATGCGAATTAAGATATTTAAATTGAAGAAAATTGTATTTATAGAACAAATAAGCGTGTCCCACGGCGAGAGCAATTTGAATTACGAATTATTCGCAGAATCGAGAACCCACGAATAATGCCAACGATCGCAGCTGGATCGATACGAAATTGCTCGAGGTAATCAGCTCGGGATATGATTGACTGACTTTGAAATACGTGCAGATATTAATAGAAGGGCACTGGAATGTATAATGTCTCGTTTTATGGTTTTACGTTTTTACCACGATACATACGCGTGGTGCCACGAATATTCGTCAAAGGCGCCATTGCGATGCATTTTTATTGCGCAATTCGTAAATTGCGGTTGCGCAATTCACGCAATTACAGACTCGATGAAAAGAAATAAATTAGTTGAATTATATAGCTCACGTGCTGCACAAAATGTAGGGAAAAAAATTGATTTGTGCTACGCGATACATACAAATTTAGAAATTAAATCGTCGAACTATATAAAAATATAAATTTGATTTATCAAAAAATAAATTACACGATTGTAAGAAATGTGATATAAGTAAATAATATTAAAAATATTTTCTTTCCCTCTTTTGGAATTGAAATGGAAAGCCTCTCGAGTAGTGATTCCCTCGATTCTTCCGAGTAAATTTATTCGATGTAATGTCAAATGCGACTTGTTTTATAACGTAATACAGCGTATTCGAACGCGTGTCAGTCGAAAGCAATGACAGCGCACTGCAACGCAATGCTTATGTCATTGCACTGACAATGAAAGTTAGAATCACTGTCTGTAGCGTCCTGCTGTAATCCTACCGTTTCCACGAAATGAATTATTGAAATACTACGTTGCCTCCATTATGCCTCGGTGCGTCGCGGCATGGCGTGCCGCGCCACAAAGTGTCTACTTTCCCATTTCGCAGCAATTATCAGTAATTTCATTTAGCGGGGGTACTCGAGGATCAATCCTGTAACGTGCAACAAGTGTTGTAAAAATTCCAATCGACATGATGACGGATTTCGAATTTTGAATCTCGATGCAAAATTGCGATTTAAAATTATGAAATCTTTTTAGCAATTGATTCGCGCTTCTCTCTCTCTCTCTCTCTCTCTCTCTCTCTCTTTCGATATATTTATATTATTAAAATAAAATGTTTAAAATTTGCATTTGCAAATATTGGTATCTGTCAACTTGAAAGTTAAATGAATTCGGGAAGAAATTTATCAAAGGTTTCCCCAAAATTCTCTTCGGACTGGAAGCGCGTTAATTGATTTAATGGCAACTAAATTCTCGGAATATCCTTTAAATGAGCCTTAAACAAGCTTTCTTCGATCATGAAACTTAAGCAACCGTTATAGAAATGTTCTTCTTTATGGACTTTTATGGCTTTCATTAAAATCACGGCGATAACTGTTTGCCAATGCAAAAAAGTACGACGAGTCGTTGTCGTGACTATTAAAGTTTTTGAAGCAGGAAAATATTTCTAGTGGCAGTTTTGCCGATAATTACTTGACACCGTAAAATTTATGATTAACAATCGATACAGATATTCCGATCGAGTAATGTGAAAAATGACAGTCATTAGAGTCCCCTTTCAGTTTGGCAAAAAAGTACATAACTCGCGTTTCGCGTTTCCGAATTTTTACGTGTCGGAGTCGAACGGAAGCAAACGCGTCACGAAAGCCGAGTTAAGACATGCCGATATAATGAATGGAAGTGAAAGGACGCGATGATTAATCGCAAACAGTTAACATTTAAAATTCACCTCGAAAACTTCGAGTGTTTCACTCTTTTTCACACGCTCGCTCTCGCTCCAAAGTTGCGTAAATCATTTTGAGAGAGAAAAAAATCCGATCTGTTCCGGACGATCCGAGCGTCTTGCCCGCGAAGTCGATGCCCTCCTCGTCGAACAAAACGAGCGCGCCGTTCTTTTTTTTTCGCGACAGTACGCGGTTAATCCCCATTCATTATACATCCCCGCGATGTGCATTACTCCGCTGCGAGCTCGATCGAATCGCTCTTCGAATGTTACGAAATATCCACGTAGCCGCGCGATCATTTCCACTCTGCCGCTGTCAATATTAATCCAATATACGAATACCAGAAATACTTTGAATAGTAAGAGCTCTACTTGCGATATCTGCAGCGAAGAAAACGGATCAAGCAGTTGCTTCGAAACCGGTTGCCAGGAAGTATCGTCGAATAGCAGCAGCTACTCGCTCGACAGATCCCCTACTTAAGGATCGCACAGAGGAGGCTGTAGAAAACTGCACGACTACGCGAGCTCGTGGACGAGCCTCGTAGCGAGCAGGATTTTTCGATATTTGTCCATATTTCAATAATTTTAAACATTCATAAACTAAAAGTGTCCTAAAAATGATGAATCGCAGAAAGACTTTCTTGAAATCAGATAAAAATTGTTATTATGATATATCCAGTCTTATTACTTTTATGTTACTTGTATAGAATAATAGCATCACAAATTAATCGTACAAAGCCTTCATTGATTATTTATGTAAAAATTTATTTTTATATACTGATTAATATGAAAGATTAATAAAACTAGACGTATCATAATTACAAATTCTAACCTAATTTCAAAAATATTTTTCTGCAATCATTTCTACCTGAGACATTTTTAATTTACAAGTATCTGTTAAAATCATTAACAACTGAGAGATTGATAGAAAATATTAATTATTATATATTTAATTATATGAAAAATATAGCGAACAAGTGTAAATTGTATATTGATAATAAAAAAATAAATTGCTTTAATTTGTGTCAAATAAAAATAAATTAAGTCTAAGCCTCGTCTTTTCCTTCCCTTTCTTTCACCATAATTAGTTGACAAATCTGTTATAATAAATCTGGATATCCTAGCAGCGAGTCCTCTCAACTGCAGGAAGTTGCTGCGAGCGGTGTGGGATTATGTTCGCGCGCGAGCAACGTTGATGACATCTGCTACAATCTGTCGGAAACTAAGTCACGTTTGCGTTAATCACGGTTGGCACGATCATGGCGTCTCCAATGTCAAAGTCAGGGTTAGTCTTCATTTCCGGAAGTGGAACACGCGCGCGTGCGCGTAATCTGAGAGAGAGAGAGAGAGAGAGAGAGAGAGAGAGAGAGAGAGAGAGAGAGAGAGAGAGAGAGAGAGACGTAC